ACGCTTTGGACTCCGGGCCAGAGTCTGGGTGCAACCTCCAGTCCTGCCATTTCACGACCGTGGACAACCTATTAAACCTCTGCGTCACTTCCTCTTTAGAAGGGAAGGACACGCCTGGCTTGTGGGTTCCTGATGAGGAGGAATGGTGAGTGCTGGATACGGGGCAGAATGTGGACAACCTATTAAACCTCCGCGTCACTTCCTCTTTAGAAGGGAAGGACACACCTGGCTTGTGGGTTCCTGATGAGGAATGGTGAGTGCTGGATACGGGGCAGAACACATCTTGTCACCTGTTACCGAGCAGCTGCCACAGCAGCGCTGGCCCTTGGACCTGGTCCCCCATACCAAGAGCCCATGGGACAGCACCATCTTCTCCACCTGCCTGGATTGCAGGTCTAGGCCCAGGACACCTGTCTGGGCATCTGTGTGGCCACAGGCTGGTTCAGAATACCCCTCTCTTGGCTCTACTTAGTTGTCACTTCCTCCAGGAAGCCTTCCCTGACAGCAGCCCCTCCTCCCTCTCAGCACCTGAACCTGACATATGACTGGACCCAACCCCACCTGGACCTGTGGCTGGCTCACATCTCCCTGGCTTGCTCAGATCAATGCAAGGCAACTCCTGGCTTCAAGGCCTGCGTGGAAGCAGCAGCCGTCTCTATCCCACCCACAACCACACAAGAGTGGGCAGCGTAGGGGTGGCTAGGGTGTCCCTCCCAGGGAGGTAAGAGGCTTCTGTGCTCTGAGCTGTTCCTGCACCTTATTTTGAGATGCGATCCTTCCTCCGGAAATGACTCATGTTGAGAAATGTGGCCTCACCCCTCCCGCAGCACTCCAAGTGTGTTCAGTTCCAGCCACGCTTGGATTTTGTGGGCCTGTCCACGGCTACGCTCCACTGAAGACCAGCGTCACCGAGGGGTTCCAGCTGACAGTGTGGCCACTGCACACCCAGGCCCCTGGACGGTGTCCTATGTACCTCGGGCAGTTAGAGCCCAGCTGCCGCAAGGCTGGCTGTTGTACCTGGGGCAGTCCTGAGCTGAGCGCACGGGTGGGCAGGGAACTGATGAGGGGAAACTTAGGGAGCCAGTGCTGTGAGCACCGACGTCCCCTGAAGTGACCGTGCCATCCTCATGGCTGGTATCACTGTCACACAAATGCAAGTCCACTGGGACATGAAAACCCAGCTTGTTGAAATAGATGCAATTTCAGGACCAGCAGATGGTGTAATGGCTACATTGCTGGACTCGCATGTAGTCAACTGTGGTTCAAGTCCTGGACCCAGTGGCTTACACTCGTGCTGGGCTGCAGATTCTCACTTTCTGTCTCTGTCTTTCTGGCGAGTGCACTCGCCCTATAGCAAACACCCCCCCCCAAAAAAAAAAAACTTTAAACTGAAATGGATGGAATTTCATTTTTAGCCTGGAATTCACATACAGGGTTTTCAGGAAAGAATTACTCAGGAGGCAGCGGGAAGACAGGACCAGGACTGGACTGGGATCCACGTAACGGCTTCTGCTGCTCAGATATGGGGAGGAATGGGACAGCCTCATCTGGGTGAGTTCCCCCACCCCGCTCCCAGAGGGGCAGAACCCAGTCTGCCATGCCGAGGTCCTCGAGCCTGGCTCACAGTCACAGGAGGCAAGAGAAATGTCTCAAGTCTCTTTATTTAGTTAGAAAAGCAACAAAAGCGACACGAGTTTTGAGGAAAGCACTGTGGCCAGGTCCCTTGTGCTGGGAGTGTGCTTTGTCTCCACTGAGTGATCCCACGGCCAGGACGCCTCTGCAGAACTGTCTGCTGAGCCCAGGAGCCCAGCCCTGGGGACTGTGGGATCAGAGGGGACCCGTGGGCAGGCGGAGCACCTGCTGCTTTCCCCTCACCCATGTGGCCAGCAGCTGCACCGCCAAAGGTGAACCCGGCCCTGAGGTCCCCTCCCCACGAGCGGCTCCCAGGACCAGCATGGGCCGCGAGGAGTGGAGAGCCTCAGGGGTTCTGAACTGGTGTGGAATGTGACCCCAAATCTATCGACTGTAGTTCACGCTGGAACTCCTGTACTGAGCCACTTAAGTGGCCTGTGCAAAGGGCCGGTGGCCTAGGAGGCCACAGGTAGGGCACCCACCTGGTCTCTTGCCAAGGCCTCAATAACCTGCTCCCCTCAAATGGAGGGCTGGGGTGAGCCTGGCAACTCTGACACTAGGTGTCGAGACAGTCCCTCGCAGAAGCTGATCTCCCATGCAACAGGTGTTGAGGAGATGCGGGTGAGGGACGCCAGCAGCTCGGGAGTGACAGCATTTAGAGCGTGTGGCTGGTCTCTGGACCATTCTTACGTATGAGCTCTGAAAGCAAACAGGTCAGATCCCATGTTCCCACCTGGGAGGCCAAGATGCCAAAGGGCGGTGTGCGCTGGTGGGGGCCCTGTCACATCTTC